AATGCCCGGGGCGAAGTTTCGATGAACAATAGAATGAAGAATCTTGCCAATGGGCGTGCTCGACGATTCCTCATGAGGTACGCGATACCACCTTAGTCACCCTTGCATATACACACTGTAGCCCCAGATAAATCATAAGGGGTCGGAGCATGACGTCTTCGCGAAGAGCGGTCTATCCACCTTGGATCGTCGAAAGGGGTGCACAGTCACACCTCAAAGGATTCCATGTGCATAGATGGGTTGGTTGACTTGGTCATGGCTACATGAGAGAGCCATGCATGGCTTGTTGTCTCCGGTGAACTGCGTGGACGGGCTGGAAGGGCATATCCATTTCCCAAGGGTTACCTCCACACTCGTATACTCATGGCAACACGCCTATAATTAGGAGTGAGAAGTAAAACCTGACACATTGTCTTGCAAAGCCCACTAACTAGCAGCTGCTGTTCGTGTTGATTATTGATAAGCTCCGTGGCCAAATTCAAAAAAAGATACAGTCGAGTCGGCGATACCAAAGGGTCAGCGATTACTCAGTGTAAAAGCTGGGCGCTGGTCACCTGACACACAAAATGCCTGCCGCCCAAAGAGTCCCCAAAGCAGGCGTAATCGTGGCTAATAAGGTACATACCTAATTAGACACCAGACTCCAGGCTGCGTTCGGTGGTCCCGGTCACCGGTCCGGCCACCGGGCCGAGCGCGATTGGAGGTAATTGATGCCAGTTGGTCGGCTGACTTGCTCAGCCGACAAACAAACCCACCGGGCTTGACTCGATAGATGATTAAGTTTCAGTTATTTGCATCTGTTTATTCACATCTTCCCCTTCTGGTCCCTCTCCCTTGCAAAGGAGATGAAGAGATAGGAGCACGTGCCGTGTAAACTGGCTGGGAGAGGGGTGGCGCTTGTTGCTCGACACCGTGCTGGACCCGGCGAGGCTGGTTGGGCGCTTTGTGGCGGTGTCGGTAAGTGAAAGTGATGTCGGGGGAAAAAAAAGAAGTTTAAACATGGGGCATATTCAAGAATAGTAACAACTTGCGCCCGCCAGCTGCCCCTGAATGCGATGTACAGCCCGTCTGCCCAATAGCCGCAAGCCCTGGGCTCACAGCAATCGGTTCTCGGAAAGGCGGTCCCGCTGTTGACGCGCGTAGTACATAGGCTATGTTCCGCTATAAGCCCTTGCGGGCGTTCTGACGGTGTTGGGACTCCGCGTTTGACTAAGAGATACAATTACGTAGTATTAGGTAAATTATGCACCACGAGGAGACGTCCTTGGCGACTCATCCAAGCATCTCAGGGGGCGTGGACAATTAAACCCGTCCGTCTGGAGCCGTCTGGAGAAGCTCTGTCAGGTACGTAGCGAAAGATTCTGCCGTCCTCGTGATGGAGTGCCGGCGTTTTAGGCTGGGCCATGCTCGAATTGCGGGGTGCAGGGGGGAGAGGGGCCCTCCTGAGCTAGCTGGAGCTCAGCGACCATTGGGTCCAGGTACCTGTTGTACTTGGAGCCGGCGGCAGCCCACGGAGGGCACAGCCGGATCAGTGCCTACCTGCTGCGACGGGCTACCCTGTAATTGGCAAGTCCCCAACATTTCGCTGTGTTGGCGGGGACCCAGGAAACTATCACGTAAAACCGTAATACTAATGTTCGACGAGTCCTGGGGTATTTGGTAACAAAATCTCCAATTGGAAACCCTGGGGGTAATGAAAATCCCATCTGGGGCACCGGCATGCCGTGCGTGCGGCGCCGTGTACATTGCGCGATACTTAAGGGGTGTTATCACGCCTTACCGCGCCGACACGTCCGGTGGGTGGGCCCCACCACCTCCGATTGTCATCAATGGATATCCAGGACAAGGACCACCTATCAGCGGGCTGCCCGGTGAAAATTTTGTTTTGATACAATGTGCGCCCGATGCTGGATGGATGCGAGAGATACCATGCAGGCTCGAGGGCGCTGTGCATGAATTGCTGTGTGTGCGTTTCGGGTTTCCCAAGCAGCCGTTGCTGCCCATTCGTGTCAGATGCGTCAGATTACCGAAGGCATCTCGTGATATGCCACTCTCGTGGGGTCACAACGGCCCCCCAGGTCGAAGCAGATACGCATCATTTGCTTATTACAGTCCGTTTCGAGGAGTTGGCAGCTGGATCATGGGGAAGGCGCCAAGGGGCGGTAAAGCTATCGGCTAGAGCCGACTTAGACTGATAATCTGGGGAAGAGTCGAAGAAACGGTGTAGCCCTCATTACGTTTCCTAGCAACCCGAGTGTCATCCACAATGCACTGGATCACGGGCATCGTCCGAGATTCGTTAGATTACATGCAGTTGGCCGATGTTGCTGTCAAAGGGAGGTGCTTTTGTTTCCATTGAGTGACACACGAGACGCGGATTACACAATCCGGCGGGCTGCCTTGCTGCACGGACTCGTTCACAGCAGCCCTCAGCTACGCCAATGATGTAGATGAGTTGTTGTGATGCACGGCCAGCATGAAGTGGAGAGGCCATAGAAACGTCGAACCAACCAACGTTCCAGAATGTTGAGATAGATTGGGCAAGCCCAAAAGGCCCCCTCCAGGGTATATTGGAATGGAAGCAAAGCCGTGAATGGCACAGTGCTGGAAATCAAAATATACGGCGATTGTGCTGTTCCCACTGTGATGTATACTGTGGCGTGGATTTCAACAAAGTTACATCGCTACTAGTGCATGTAGAGCCATGGATAGCCGACTGATGTATCCATCCTTTTTCTCTTATTCCCTCGAATTTTTTTTCCCGGATTTCTCACTCCATGTATTCCAGGCAGGCTTTTGGCAGACGAGATAGTACATACCCTGCTGGAAGGTACTTTGCCATGTACATGCATAGCATTTGTTTGGAGTGGGGACTGGGGCTGGAGGACCAGGGAGTGGATGGTGGTTCAGGTTCCTGACTGGTGATCGACCAGGAACCATGCGTCTGGGCCAAGAAGGTTGCTCCTTGGGGAATAGCGAAGCAGTGCGATTTGGTAATACGCTGAAGTTTTTGCGTGCCTTGTGAGATCATGGATCACGATGGCCCCCGCCATTTGCACAACTTCAAGCTTCCATTTGATTCGTTTCCAGCTCTCCCTTGCTGTGGGTGTACGTAAGAGCACTGTAATGGATTTCCTGATGTTCACTGTGTCCATTGGCCTCGTGGGTGCCCAATTTGCAGACGGCGTCTAGCTGTGCAATGGGCTTCTTGTGTATCGTGGATGGGCGCCAGGAATTAGGTGAGTACGGCAGCTTCGAATTGGCTGGTCAATCCCGTTCAGGGAAAAATCAGCAAAGAATGTGGGCACAAGACGCAACTGTGTCTTCTCGAACAACCAGCACCAACCAGCGGACAAAATTGCATAACTCAGCTAGGGAGGGGGTTCACGAAGTAAAAAGTCATCACAAGATAAGTCTAGGCCCGTGTTTGGGGTGGAGGCAGGTGTTCCCGGTGCTGAATGTACTGTACGTACCTGAAGTAGCTTCTGCAAAGGCACCGGAGGTACCTGTCTGGATGTACGTACTTCGTACCTTCCTCCTGGTTTCAATGGGATCAAGGAAACAGCCAAAAAAAAAACATTTAAATAGTAGCGCCAGCTGCTGCTTTCCGGGGAGTTTTTTGCCTGGATCGACAGAATAAAGACGTTGCTCCTGAACAAGTCCAATGGCCTTGGTTGCCTCAATTACTTCAGACTCCCAACTTGACTCTGACGACCCTCACCTCCCCTCAGCCTAAAGCTCCTCCTGCTGAAAGGAAAGTCTTGCCCGCCGAGAGCATTGACGATCAACTTGCCGTCTTGTTATCTCACCCGACCTGTGCCATCAGCCACATTGCAGGGTCACTGATAAGGCCAGCGTTTAGAGTTGGACCAGTCCGCAAGGTACGTTGTGGAAGCTGAACCCGGAGGCGCCGGCATCTCACCTCATTCTCACCGAGCTCAGCTCCGCCCTTCCAGCCCGCCGGGTGCTTGTTCTAGAGCCTCGTCAAAACGCTGGTTTGGGGTTAGGGGGGCTGTGACTCTAAGTTTGGACGGGGTTACAGCCAGCGCCACCTGCATTCAATTCCGAGCCTGGACTGACACGGAATTCAGCTAGATCTGGAAACAGAACGACCAGACCACTACGTCAACATAAAAAACGAAGCCCAATTCGCTCTTCGTGCGCGGACTCAGTCATCCAGACTCAGCCATCCTCCCCCATTGCCTCTTCTCTCGTATAATTGGGTGTGTTTCGTGTTCGATTCCTAGCACCTTTTTCTCTTATCTTTGGCGCCCCACCACGACTCTTGCTTGAGCCGCCTCCATCCGTTCCACACTATTAGCAGTTAGCTGAGCATTGTTCTTGGTGGACCTGCACGCCAAGACTTCACGTCACATCTGAGGTCTATTGCGGATCTCGAATTTGATCGAGAGTCAGGTATGTTGAATTTGTCGATCTCCTTATCAGTCGGTGTTTGATTTTCGTCATTTTGTGATACGAGCCGTGTCCGGCGGTCAAAGTGACATTGGATCTTCTTATCTTTGCGGCGGTGGCTCAGGCTCAATTCCTTATCATTGTTTCCCAATTTAGCTGCACTTTTCTTTGTGTTGTTTCTCAGCATACCCCTACCCTGTCACAAGTTCCCGAGCTTTGAACAAGCAATTGATTCCTCGGGGGTCTCTGCCGGCTCTGGAATTCTGCCGTCAAGTTCTAGCCGGTGTTCAATTGATGGCCTGTTGAGTCATTCCAGTTGTACATCGAGACTTACTTGGCAGTGCAACTGTCCACCGCTTTGACGCCCTGATCAACTTGGTATTTATTCACCGATTCCTCACCTTCACCTCACCCTTCCTCCAGCCCTCAACCCACTTCATTGTCGTCTTATTTCATTGTCGTCTTTAATAGTTTTCTTTCTCTTTGTGCTTGGCAGGATGCTGGCTCTTTCAATTGAACCAGCTAACCTTCCTCCTCTTGATAGATTTCCTGAGTACACAGATCCTCTTGAGGACACTCTCGCAATCATGACGGATATTGCCCCAAAGCCGTCGCCTCTTGCCAGGCTCCAGTCAGATGGCACTGAAACAAGCAGAGGCGCCTCGCCTCAACCTTCCCACATCAGCTTTACCACGCCCCATAATGGCCACAAGATCCTCCGATCTGCCACAGTGGGCTACATTGCCCCAGAGTTCGTTGGAAAGCTGGAGCAGATGAAGTCGGGTATGTGTTTTGCGAACCGCCTCCCAAAAGACGTCTAGAAGTAGCTCGACTAACTGGCCTCGCTGTAGTTAAGGAAATCATCCAAGCTGCTGGCTGGTTGCCCGAAGTCGTCATTGATGAACAGATCCAGTGGTTCTACGAAAAGCTCGGAATTGACGATGTTTACTTTCACATCGAGACTCCCACTGTCATCGCCAACCAAATCACTTCTTTGTATGCCGCCAAGGTTGCTGCATCCGTCCGAGAGGACAGGCAAGAGGAGATCCGCCTGGACATGGAGGCAAACGACCATGCCATCTACATTGATACCAGCATTCCTGGCAAGGCCCTAGTCGGAGGACCTCAGTATGAGAAGCGCCTTGAGGCCAAGTACCTGGATCACCAGGGCACCACCAAATACCGTGTGGAGACATTCCGATCCCCTGCAGTGATCGGCAACAGCCCCTCCTCCCAGGCTACCCTCCGCTGCTACTTCGTTTACCAGTGCCTGTTCAAGCAGAAGCCTGAGGAGACTGATCCCAAAGAAACACGCCTTGAAGTCATTTCCGACCATGGGTTTTGGCAAAAGGCAACTGCAAACACCAAGCAGATCTACCAAGAGATCATTGAACTCGCCGTCAACCGCACTGGCCCAGTCATCGAGGTCTATGACCTGGAGGGCTTGGCTGAGAAGCGACTCGTTATCGCGTTCCGTACTCGAACAGCCCATGGCCTGTTCTCTGCTTTGAGCGATCTCTACCACTACTATGGTGTCACTAGCTCCAGGAAGTACTGTGAGCAGTTTGCCAACGGTATCACCGTCATGAGTGTGTATCTGCGCCCTGCCCTGGCTCTCGACGGTGACTACCCCCCATTGGAGGAGTCCATCCACCAGATCACCAAGGAGATTTCCCTCCTCTACTGTATTCCCCAGAACAAGTTCCACAGCCTGTTCCTTACTGGAGAACTCAGTCTGCAAGAGTCCGTGTATGCACATGCCTCTTGGGTGTTCGTTCAGCACTTCCTCAACCGTCTCGGCCCCGAGTATGCCTCTCTCTCGGAGCTGCTAGATCCCAAGGAGAAACCCCAAGCCGCTCTTCTCCTGTCCAAGTTGAAGCGACGTCTTCGTACCGAGACCTTCACTCCTGACTACATTTTGGAGATCATCAAGACCTACCCCAGCCTCGTCCGGGCCCTGTATGCCTCCTTTGCCAATGTCCACCTTGGCCTCTCGGAGGCTGCCTCGGATGATAATGCTCGTCCCTCAAGCATTGAAGTACTGTCGGATGCAAAGCTTCAGGAGAAGATCTCTTCCACCGTGTCTAATGAACACGATGAGATGGTCATGACTGCTTTCCGAGTCTTCAACTCTGCTATTCTCAAGACCAACTACTTCACACCCACCAAGGTGGCCCTCAGCTTCCGTCTGGATCCTGCCTTCTTGCCTGCTGTCGAATACCCCAAGGCTTTGTACGGGATGTTCCTCGTCATCGGTGCTGAATTCCGTGGCTTCCATCTTCGCTTCCGAGACGTTTCTCGAGGTGGTATCAGAATCGTCAAGTCTCGTAGCAAGGAAGCATATGCCATCAATGCCCGAAACCTCTTCGACGAGAACTATGGTCTTGCCAACACCCAGCAGCGCAAGAACAAGGATATCCCTGAAGGTGGATCCAAGGGTGTTGTTCTCCTTGACCCCAAACAGCAGGACAAGCAGCGTGAAGCATTCGAGAAATACATTGATAGTATCCTTGACCTTCTCCTCCCTGCCGAGACCCCCGGAATCAAGAACCCCATTGTCGATCTCTACGGCAAGCAGGAGATTCTTTTCATGGGTCCCGATGAGAACACTGCTGACCTGGTCGACTGGGCTACCGAGCATGCCCGAGTTCGAGGTGCTCCTTGGTGGAAGTCTTTCTTTACCGGAAAGTCGCCCAAGCTTGGTGGAATCCCCCACGACAGGTACGGCATGACCACTCTTTCCGTCCGAGAGTACGTCAAAGGTATCTACCGCAAGCTTAACCTGGATCCCTCCCAGGTCAGGAAGATGCAGACTGGTGGCCCTGATGGCGATCTGGGCAGCAACGAGATCCTCCTCGGTAACGAAAAGTGGACCGCCATTGTTGATGGTTCCGGTGTGCTTGCCGATCCCAATGGCCTGAACCGAGAGGAACTCCTTCGTCTCGCCAAGAAGCGTGCCATGATTAGCGAGTATGACCTGTCCAAACTCTCCAAGGACGGTTACCGGGTTCTTGTCGAGGATAACAACATCACCTTGCCCAGTGGTGAGGTTGTGGGCAATGGCACCACCTTCCGAAACACCTACCACCTGAAGGATACCGGCAATGTCGATGCCTTTGTCCCCTGTGGTGGCCGACCCGAGTCCATCGATCTCATCTCGGTCAGCAAGCTTATCAAGGATGGAAAGTCCACCATTCCTTACATTGTGGAGGGTGCCAACCTGTTCATCACACAGGATGCTAAGCTTCGCTTGGAGGCCGCTGGCTGCATTCTATACAAGGATGCCTCTGCCAACAAGGGCGGTGTCACATCGTCCTCGCTCGAGGTTTTGGCCTCGCTGTCGTTCGATGACGAGTCCTTCATCACCAACATGTGTGTCAACCCCAAGACCGGTGAGGCACCTCAGTTCTACAAGGATTATGTGAAGCAAGTCCAGAACAAGATTCAAGAGAACGCTCGCCTTGAGTTCGAGGCTATCTGGAGGGAGCACGAGGCCACTGGCATCCCTCGCTCCATTCTCTCTGACACCCTGTCCTGGGCCATCACAGATCTTGATGAGGAGCTCCAGCAATCTGACCTCTGGAAGAGTGAGAGGATTCGATTTGGTGTCCTCCGGGACGCCCTTCCCCAGCTCCTCCTGGAGAAGATTGGTCTCGAAACTATTGTCCAGCGGGTACCCGAGAACTACCTCCGGGCTATCTTTGGTAGCTACTTGGCAAGCCGATTCGTGTATGAATTCGGTAGCCAACCTAGCCAGTTCGCTTTCTTCGACTTGTAAGTATTGACTCCTATCCATTTGGATCATGATAGAACATTGCGCTGACCCCTTTACTCTAGCATGTCGAAGCGCACGGCTAAGATCACAGCGGCGGAAAATGGCGTTCAAAAGGCATAAAGAAGCATTAGCGATTGATTTTTTCCCTTGTCCTTTTTCTGCTTCTCAGGATCGCATCATGTTGAGGGGACGGAATGTCTAAACCTAAACTAAATGGCGTACAAATGGGCTTTGCATTTGCATACCACAACACAAACCGGAATGATGATATGAACTGGTTAATAAAGTAAAGAACGAGATGCAACTTAGAATGTTGCTCTAATAATACAGATGAACTTTTCTTTCAAATTATGAGCATCTCTGAGAGGCCCTGGGTCTCGACACATGACTGTGACCAGCCTCTAACATCGCGTTCGCGTCGCGTGTAGTGGTGGCCGTGATGGTAATCTAAGTGGTGAGAATATTAATTAACAGTGGCCCGGCTGGGTCGTCTAGTCGTTTCAGCCCCCAGCTCCCGCCCGGGGACGGGTACCGTGCGCTAATCTTCTTGGGAGGGCTGCCTCTTTCAGGCACTAGGCTTAATTACATGGTAGCAGCCGCCAGGGAGCTGAGGTTGAGGGGAGGTTGAGGGAGGTTGATGTTGGCAGCGACCCCTTGCGAAAGAATGAGTGTGCTGCGTGCCTCTCGGCCCCCTTTCCCCTGCTAAGTTTTTCAGCTTCCCTTCTACGAGCATCAATCGAATGGACATTGATCGTCCCCCCTGTCTTCTTGCTCTCCAGTGGAAGTGCCTAGCCGGGTTGGGCATCCTTGCCGGGACATCTTGAGACCCATATGGCCCGTTTCAAATGCACAATACTTGTGACATAGTTATGCGCTTGGGAGCGATCAATTGGCATGACTGCATCCAAGTACCTACTTATGCAAACATGGGCGCTTCCATTCGAGGAGCGATTTGGGCAGCCGGAGATTTGTGACGACGAGTGTGTCCGAGTGAGGTTTATGTAAGGCCACCTAGGTTACGCAACAGTGGGAGAGAGCCCGCTCCCGGGCCAGGGCATGATACAAAGTCGGGACCGGGACCAAAATAGTAGCAGCATGGCTGGATTCCGAAGAGGGCTGAGGGCCGTGGTGCCAGAATTGTGATGCAGCGAAACTTGTGAGCTCACACAGGTACCTCGGCTAGCGTGGTTGGGCATGCCCGCGGGAAGTACCCAGGGCCCCACAGTGAGTAGCTGTGCTGTGCTGAGACGCCCCTCAGAACCTGTTTACAGTGGCCCTGGAGGCGCTGGTGGCCTTTGAGGCACCTGGAGGCACTAATCACCCGTGTCTCAGCCCAGGAACAGCAATTTGCAGCTGGCAATTCCCATCCGTTCCCTTGGAATGCTCACACAACGGCCAGCCCCCCAAGTCAAGTTCCAACCTCCATTCCTTGGCCAGGGTGCAAAGGAGAAAAAAAAAACCCAAGATTGAGCCGGGGAATCCTATGCAACCCCCGTCCGGGCTGGTTTGAATGTCGGGACCCCAAATTGCCTTCTTTCCACCCCCCTTTCCAAGATCCTTTCACTCGACCATTCTTTTCTTAGCGGTGGCTGCAGGCGCGCATTCATTTTTCAATTTGCCTCGCGCACTACCCAACGCCTCCTAATCCCATTAGCGACCCCGACGAGACGATCCAGCATACCTTCTTTTTGCCGATCCGGGACGGTGGTGGACACTGGCCTTAGGTGGTCTGACCACTCACCATGACGAGGCCGTTGATCGTCCGCGCAGGTAAGTAAAACTCACCATCAAGAAGGCTGGTGAGGTGGCCAGTCGTGGTGTGGTCCCTGCTCCTCCTACCTTATCCATGCACTGCACGGCACATGTCCTGCCTCGACAGACTTATGCAGGTTCTCTGTCCTCGCAGCCTTTCCCTTGCCCGTCTATCCGTTGCGAGAATTCACATCCCTACACCCACCACCTCCCGACTGCATGGCCACCGCCTGCACAACTTTCGTGCGCGAGCTAACGTCCACTCCTTTCCCCCTTCCGAACAGACACAATCGATCTGCAAAATCCAGACGCTCCATCCGCCAAGAGCCACGGCCGCCAACATCTACATCCCACCGAATCGACTGCTCCCCATCAGGCTTCTACCCTTCGTGAAGTTGCTCACGAGACCGCCGAGGAGGAAGCCCGGAGCCCTCACCTGTCCTGGTCGAGCGGGTTCGCGACCGAAGAATCGCGCAAAGAAGAACAAGAGGATTTGGCTGCCGGCGTGAGGGGCAGGATGACCCAGCAAGAGCAGGAAGACCAGCTGGCGATTGCCCAGAATGGGGGAGTCTCATCGAGCGACGAGGGCGAGGACGATGGCGACCTGGATGATGACATGATGGATAGGATCTCGAGCTCACCCTCGATCGAAGATGGTGCGTTTGCTTTCAATTCATGGCCGAGGCGCGTTTCGTCTCTCCCGCCACACCCCGGCCATTCTTACTCTTTCATCACACGCGGCTCTGGCAATGAGCCTTCCCCCTACACGAATGTTGCACATTACTCCCCTCTCCACAGCACAACATCCAGCCTGCAGAGTCATCGTCATCGGCGTGGTGAGTATAGCGCCGCGGAAGAGGGTTGCGTCACGAGAGCAGTCAGCCAAGCACCGGCACGAAGAGAATCGTCTCCTGAGCGAGTGGACGGAATGTGGAATAGCCTTCAATCCTAGGAGTTTGTGGACCATGACATGCATGACGACCAAGAAGGGGAAAGCCTTGAGCCTGCGAAGCAAGGCCAGAGGGACGATCCGGCCGCCTGGGCTTATTACGATGACTCGAGTGACTACAGTGAGGAAGGATATGATGAGGAGGAAATCGACGATCGAAAGTGCGCCGAGTTGAAGAGTGGTGAAGCTTCGATACTTGCGACTTTGCTCGAAGAAGATGAAGAAGATGAAGACGAGGAAGACGATGACTATGGCGATGATGATGACATTGACTCACCCCAATTCTCAAATGACACTGACTACTCCGAATTTTGCTTTGCGGCGTCTGAATGCTTACCTATTGACTCAGAGGACATCGATTTCGACTTCGTTTATGCGCTGCACACTTTTGTCGCCACCGTCGAAGGCCAGGCCAATGCGACCAAGGGTGACACAATGGTCCTCCTAGACGATAGCAACAGCTACTGGTGGTTGGTCAGAGTTGTCAAGGATAGTAGCATTGGTATGGTTTCCACCGAGAAAACTCACCAAGGTTCCACTCCCGGCTAATTGCGATGTTGGCAGGATATCTACCAGCCGAGCACATTGAAACTCCAACCGAGAGGCTTGCCAGATGGAACAAACACAGGAATGTTGATGTAAGTTGTGGTGACTGCAGTACCACATTCGAGACGTTATGCTCACAAGATGAAAGCTGTCAGCAGCTATGTTGGGGGACAACCCACAGAAGCAGAAGAGCACATTGAATAAAATCCGAAAGCGCTGGAAGACTGTTACCTTTACTGAACCAACATATGTCGACTACTCTGATATCGACTACTCTTCGGATGAGGAGGATATCGAGGAGCTGTTTGGCCGAGATGTTACGGCAGGATCAGGGCAGCAGGACCAGGATCAACAGCAGGATCAGAAAGACAAGCAGGATAAAGAGCAGCAAGACGCACAGCAAGCTGCCAGCGATGACGACATGGCTGATGAGCGCGCAAAGGTAGAACCTTTGAAGACGGGCTCTGCGGGCCTGTCCAAGGTTGACTCGAAGGAGGAGGCCAAGCTCGATGGATCCAAGGACGGCGATGACGTTGAAATCGAAACAAGGGACAGTACGGAGCTGCTTGGCGGCCATGTTGACATGGTGGGTCGTTCCAGGAATGGAACCATGAGAAACACAGACTCGTTCTTCAAGGATGACACGGCGGAGACGAAGAAGATTACCCTGACTCCCAACCTGCTCCGAGATGATCTTGGATCTCGCCCATCAACAGATTCGATTGTTGCGAAAGACAAGGCTCGACCCAGCCTGGAGAGCAAGATGGATAGGGAGTTTGTTTCGGATAAGGACAAGAAGAAACAGAAGGAGAAAGAGAAGAAGGAAAAGGAAAAGAAGCCGAGCGCCATCCGAAGCTTCTTCTCTAGGAAGGATAAGAAGCGCACGTCGGAAGATGATGACGATTCGTCGCTCGGAAAGCGGTCCATGGACGTCATGTCAGAGCCCCGACAGAGCGAGGATCCAATGGCCGACGACCCGTCGGAAAAGCAGGCTCGATCAGCTGCCAAGCCTCAGAAACCGCAAGCTAGAGTGGAACCCTCATTGGTACGCAAGAACTCGACCCAGAAGAAGAGCTCGGAGATCACCAATCCCTTCTCGGAAACTCGGACAAACGATGTATCCAATGTCCCCCCTTCGACGATGCGCATCGTTGACCCGGAGACGCAAGAGACAAGAGAAGTATCCTCCAACCAGCAACAGGCCCGTGATAGGTCTCAGAGAGACGAAAAACCAGCTATTGGCAAGCCACAGCAAACATCGGCGGCTCAGCCGCAAAGGGTGGCTGCAGCCCAGTCTCGCATGGACCTCGACGATTCTGATAGCTCAGATGCCGCAGAGGCCCTCTTGCACGAGACACCAGAACCAGCACACACCCCGACGCCTGTCATCAGAGTGGAGACGGAGAGAGTCCGTAGCCCTCATGTACCTGGTGCGTTCCCGATGCTGAGCCCGAAAGGTGCCCCTACAGTTCGTGCAGTTTCCCCAGAACAGGACATGGACCGACTCTCCGAGTCTCCCATCGAAGTCTCTCCCATATCCCCCATCAACCCACATCAACCCCCAGGCCTCATGGCAGATTACGCGCATTCACCCTCACCAGAGGGCTCGCCATCTCCCGACCTGGTCCATGTTGGGGAGATAATCAAAGAAAACGAGGCGGAGGCCCCACAGGAGCCTGCATGGGACGACACCAAATTACGGGCCTTCTTTGACGAAGGGAAGCATGTCCGTGATCTTCTGGCCGTTGTCTACGACACGTCAGACGTCGAGCCTTCAGACTCAAGCGCCGGCAGCTTGTTCCGCGAGCAGAATGCCAGGTTGGCAGAAATAACAACCGTAAGTGACTATCTAGCGCCCATATTCATAGTACCATCAGAGGCTAACAGATCATGTGAATAGCAACTTGACAATATGCTGGGAGACTGGTTGGCTAGAAAGCAGCGCTCACGAGGAACCCTCCTATAAGTATGAGCCCGGCAGCGCCATGGGCTCACCCGTAAATATATACAAGTTTCAGGACCGGCTTCACATGAAACCACACTGCAGAACCGACGAATCTGCGATTTGATTTTCTTGAGTCTACATTTTCAAACGGCGTCTGGGCACGGCATAGGGAGGGCAGAATTATCAAAGGGCTACCATGGTTGCCTCGTATCCACGGCGACTCAGTTGGCCACAGTTTCTTTTCTCTTCTTCTTCTTCTTCGTTGGCTCGATGTTGCATTCTGCTTCATCTTGGCTTATGGGCGGCACGCGAGCTGTTTTGTTTTAACATGCACCTTTTCTGTTGTGTCATCCGCCCCCTCTCGGTTGCTACACACATACAAAACCCCCTCTATTGGGCATGAATGATATGAGAAGATCATACCCCCTTGCGATTATTCGATTCGAATATACCTTGCACCCAATTTCCCTTGGTTTCTTGCATTTGGTTCTAGTTTTTTAAAAAGAAGAAAAGAGCTGCGTTGGAAATGGAGTTAGCTGTTTCAATTCAATATACCTACGATCATATCGCATTCTTGACCTAAGACCATCACGTGATGCGCAATGAGTGGAACTACATCCTTGAATCCCATTTTGATATCATGACTGAGATGTACTCGCTCGAACATACAGGGCATATTCCGTGCCAGGTTTTACAGGAGAGACGCTCACTTGAATGGATTTGCAAGTTGATTAGGTTTGAGTGTAGGAGAATCCAGAAAATTTATGGCTGGCATACTTGAGATTATGAGTTTTCCGAAGGGAGTCGTCCATTGTGACAGGATATGAGATGTGCATTCTAACATATGGGGTATTCAAACCATTGGAAAGTACACAGGGAAATACGTATTGTTACCGTGATGGCGATCATCATTGGCAAGCTAAAGCAGCTCTATTCCGAGCTTATCCAAATACACAAGCCTACGTTCAATCGGGCCTCCTCGCAGCAACAAAGCCGCTTACAACGCAACAGACCCAGCAACTGTAATAAAGCCACTTATAAGCAGTTTGAGTTGCAGCTGCTGGGTCTGCTATGTTATAAGCGGTTTCGTTGCCGCTAGGAGACAACCGATTGAACGGAGCCTTGTATATTGGATAAGCTCGGAATTAAGCTGCTTTGGCTCCTCTATGATAATCGTTGTCATCTTTTCTCGGACTTGATTATTTGCCCCGGCTGGGCCTTGGGTGGTAGGGACATAACATGAGATACCGACATCGGGGCTTGGAGAGAGGCGTGGTTATGAGCGTCGCCCCCCAGTGGGCTATGGTTGAGTTATATCACACCTCTCTCCAAGCCCCAATGCCAGTATCTGACATTATCCCTTCCACTCAGGGCCCGGTATTTTCCAGGACTTGGTCAGTTGCCCTGACCGGGCCCTGAGTGGAAGGGATAATGTCAGATACTGGCATTGGGGCTTGGAGAGAGGTGTGGTGAGGTTATGAGCTTCCCCTCTTGGGGGCCACGGCCAAGTTATCTATATTTATAATGGCCAGCCCTTGGTAGAGTTTTTTTGTGTTTTCGAGATGTTGATGCCTACGGCTAAGCTACGTGTGAAATTTTCTAAGCTTTCTTGAGGTGGAAGGTTCACGTATGGACCATAATTTGTCTTTTTTTAAAAAAAAAACTTATGTGGTGTTACCTCGTGTGTGACCTGATCTTGGGATACGCCTTGCTTGTGGCGATTGGCAAAAACAAATAAATATATTGGTTAGCCCTTAGTAGAGTTTTTCGAGGGATGGATGCCTGTGCCTAGGCTATATGTTGAAATTCTGACTTTTCTTGGTGTGAAAGGTTAGGTATAAACTAGGTATAATGAAAATTTTTAAAAAAAAGTTTATGATGTTATCACGGGGTGTGGTTTGATCTCGGGATACGATACCCCTTGCATACACCGATTAATAAAGAATGAACATATTGTGACCGGCTCGTTGCGGGGCTGCCTTGAACAGAAAAAATTACACTACTGGTCTCTCACACTACGATGGAAGGCTCTTGTTTCCAATTGCCATCGAGGCAGAATTATAACGTTTTCCTCAGGCTTGGGGAAACGAGGAACAGCTGGGTAGGTAGGCAATGATTGGGCACCCGGAGAACTCCAGATCAGATGATTCCGAAGCAGATGGGAAGAGAACGCACGTAAAACGTGCCAAGCATCACAGTACAGTCACACTCTCAGGAAGCCGAGCCATTCATTCAATGGTGCTTTATTTTTTCATCCCTCTGACACGGCCAGAGCTCGGCGCCAGCAAAAGACACATGGGGAAAACCTGATTCCGATTTTTGATGCGCGCACCACAGACTGAATTCGTAAAAGCAATTGCCTAACCCCGTCCTAATGTTTGATGAACACGGAAAAAAGAGAGTTTTCCCAAGCTTCTTTGTTAACTCATTCCCTTTTGCCCCAATATAAAACTCCTTAAACCTCGGTGGTGACCTTGGCCTTGGCGTTGGTGACCTTGACGCCTAATTGCTTTGCGCGGGCAATGATGTCGATGCGCTTTCGGGAAGAGACGTTGTGGGCGATTCTGAGAAAAGGTTATGTTAGCACCGAATCAAGACGAGGGGAGATTGGCCCTCAATTGGGCTGGGTGGGACATACTCGGCGGCGAAGGTGCGGTTGTGCATGAGCAGGAGCTCAACGTCCTTGGTGTTGCTGACAAGGAAGGACTTGTGGCCGGAAGGAGTGAGGAATCTGGTCTTCTTGTTGGAGCGGAAACCGATCTGGGAGAGACCATGTTAATAATCCATTGATTCCTCGTACGACAACGTATGCCGAAGACTGAGAGGTTCATTTCGCCTATCCCTCCTCCGGAACACATAAAGAACCCCTCTCATCTTCGGCCAACGCTGGAGGGGCAGGTAGGTCCCGTACCTTGGGCATGGTCATGGTGCCACGGAAGCGTCTTCGGACACGGTTGTCAATGCCCTTGGGCTTGCGCCAGCTGGAGTCGACACATTTGAATCGGTCGCTCTGGTGGCGGTTGAAGCTCTTCCGGTCTGCACAATCCAGTCAACAATCGATGTCCCCTTAACATGTTGCCTTCCTTAATTAAAAATTTCCCGACACGCCCAAATCAATTTCCATCTTCGACCCTGGGTGGACACAGTAAAAGTCGTCGATTTCGTCGATATGGCCGGGGGGAGTTTGTGATATTTCTTTTCTGCAACGAGGGGAGGGCCAACATACGCTTCTTCACGATAGGAACGTGCTGTTTGGCGGAAACCATCTGTTGAAAAAAATGTCAATTTCGTCCAGGCAGCATCTCAGCATCGTGGTGATAATACTGACCTTGTCGGCGGGTGACTCGTGGGTCGGATGGCTGTCGAATTGTGTCGCGGCGGCGTTGGTCGATACTCTTCCCAAGTCGAAATTTTGGCAATAGCTAGATTAGGCGCCAATGTTCAAGGGCTTAGGGTTTTCTGTTGTGGGCGTCACGTGTTCTCCATGCCTCCAGGCTTTTTTTTTGGCACCGAGGTCAGGCACGCACTAAAAAAAGGTCTTGTGGGCGGGCACTCTGCACTTCGTAATTTTTTTCTGGGCCAGACAGCCCCAAAAGGGAATAGCGCATAACCCAGGGCACAAACCCTCCTCTTTCGTGCGAAAACTCGTTAGTCTGCCAACACCATATCGTGAGAATCAGTAGCAACACGCCTTCAAGTACGCCAAACGACCGATCGACCACCCGGATCATCCACCACAAGGACAGCAATCATGTCGACGACACAGCGTGTGCAATGCTTCGGCAAGAAGAAGACGGCTACTGCTGTCGCCCAGGCCCAGGTCCGCATGAACCGCCCTCCGTTGGACGTGTCGAGATGAAGGGAACACTCTTGATGCTAACCTCGAAATTCTAGGCCGGTAAGGGTCTGATCAAGGTCAACGGTCGCCCTCTCTCGCTCATCCAGCCCGAGATCCTCCGCTTCAAGGTACGAATTTACATCCATGGAATCGAATTGCCCCGTGCCTCGTTGCCACCCTCGAAGTCTTTCAAGACTTTGATAATATCATTGAATCGGGGTGGAGATGGGGCCGTTGTGTCAAAATTTCACCACAAAAGGCAGTCTCGCTGAACAGCATTCCGCTTTATAGGTCTACGAGCCCCTCCTCGTTGTTGGCCTTGACAAGTTCGCCAACCTCGACATCCGTGTTCGCGTCACCGGCGGTGGTCACACTTCCCAGATCTACGCCATCCGTCAGGCTATCGCCAAGTCCCTGATCGCCTACTACCAGAAGTACGTCGATGAGCACTCTAAGAACCTCCTCAAGCAGGCTCTTGTCCAGTTCGACCGTACCCTCCTCGTCGCCGATAACCGTCGTTGCGAGCCCAAGAAGTTCGGTGGTCCAGGTGCCCGTGCCCGTTTCCAGAAGTCTTACCGATAAAGGCTTGTTGTGGGACGGAAAAGAAAGGGAGAAAGAGAGGGGGGCAGAGGGGGAGAGAAAACTTCTGCGACAGAGCTGGGCACAAGGGGCTGCCAAGCTTCTCTGCACAACAGCATTTGCGTTATTGCGTTGGGTGGCCTGTCGTGGCAAGTACGACGGACTATCGAACTCGGAGTCTCTATATCCTCTGGCAAGGGGATGGGTTACCCACTGGCATATGTGTGGCCTTACTTTTGGCGGATTGTAAACGGTCCGGCAGGCAAATAAAAATCCTTCAAAGTTCCATGATCTGTTTCCTCTACCACCTGTCCTTAATTCTACGTGTCTGTGATATACCAAAAGTCATCTTAGTCAAAGATAATATTGAACGTGCATGGAATGTGTTCAGGCGAGCAGTCCATGTTGCGGACCTGTCCAGCTGATGGGACGGTTTTCGTCGACAGTTCGTTTCGACAAATATGACATATCGATCAAAATGTGCTAGTGAAGTTACTCCACGCAAAGCAAGACACAGACGTGTATGCAAAAGACAACCATTCACAAACTAACGCCTCGCATCATCCTCTTAAACGACAGGAATCAAAACCCCAAAATTACCAAATAGCAACGCATCCTGAATTGGCCTCTAGGACCAAGGAGCGCGTCGCGTTCTTCAACCAAGCCTGCGACGGCGGCTGCGGCTGCGCTCTTCCTCAAAGGTGTGTCCGAACCGGAACATTCGTTTCAGAGCTCGTCCCTTTGCTTGGTGCATCTAGTCCGACCACGAGACAAGCCCCCGTTGGTTTCCTCTCTCGTCCAATTCGACCACCTCGGGTGCATATTCGCCCCTCTCGTCTTCAGCCTCCAATTCCCCCATCTCTACTTCAATCTCCTCGCCATCTTCCAACATTATCTTGCCGCTCCGTACGTAGTTGTCACTCCGGAGGTCCCACCCAAGCGGTGCTAGGGCAACGGTTGATTCCACTTGTGCAAAAGCTGTGACAACCGCGAGCTGATCCGGAATGTCGTTGTACTCAAAGAGTTCTTCTATACGCCGCTTGTACAGAATTAGTGCTAACCGGAGTTCACGGGATTGGCTCTCGCTGTAGTCTAGAATAGATGTGTCAAAGTTGCTGTTGCTGTAGGAGAGCTGTGCTGCAAGGCATCTTAGCAGCTCAGCTGCAAGTATCGGTCTCTGGATAGGAAGAAGGTATGCTCGTAAGATGATTTTGAGTACCATGTGCCACCACTGTTGCATGCAGGCATCATTTCCAAGGTGCATCCCCACGAGGAAAGCGAATTGAAACTCTCCCACTATGTCATTCTCACTCAAATTGACCGTTGAATCATGCACCAAGGATAGAAGATATGGGGTGGCATCCCTTGCTTGAAATGTTCGTTTCGCCCCAGTATCGCTTGTAGAAAACGTCTTGGAGAGCTGAGAGAAGGAGAAATTGAGCTCGCGGTTCTGAAAAACCGACGTAGAAATGCGCTTCTCAAGCTCCAGTTCGGCTGCAATTAACGTGGATCCTTTGACACGGTCCGTAGTGTTGACAAAGTAGTGGCCATCGACCTGGCCAATGATTCGATTTAAGGTGACCTCAGATATCCCACTGGTCAGCTGAGTCCATAAACGTAATGCTTCGTCCACGTTGGAACTTTCGGCTATTTCGGTGTTTACAGCTGTGGGATCACTATATGGCACTAATTTTTGGTGAATGGACTCCAAGTTGTCTGCTTGAATACGAGCCTCGGTTCGAGAAGGCTCGCTGAGCATCTCGTTATATTTGTCCCATTGTAAAACGTGGACTTGGTGTGCACTGGTGCTGATAACCCAAACACCGCAACGCGTCGAAGTGCCTGATGGATGTGAGGTCCAAAGAAAATGTGCGCCAGGTGGGAAGTCTCGAATGCCACCAAAATGTTTCGCATTGAAAGAAAGAGAATCGTACCCAACGGTGAAGACTTCCGGAAGGTCCAGAACGATGATGACATCTCCTCCACCCATCTCATGGGACAGTCTGTCACCCATCACGGAAGACTGTTGCGGCTGCCGAATTGGCAATTGCATTTCACCCATCAGCTCATCGCCATCCAGTGGTGGAGGAGAATCGTCGTCGTCATTATTTACATGTCCCGATTGCGCCAGAGGGGAAGGTTGATCCGGCTGATGAACACGCAGCGTGCCGAGTGGGTAAGGACCAACTACCGATACAGAGTCGTGTGACTTTGTTGATAGGCCGCCTGAAGATCGATTGGAAACAGACCTGATAAGTCTGTCCATACCCTGCCTCGGCGAGGACTTGCCAGGATCCATGGTATCCTGAGTGTATGGCTAGGCCACTACCCGTTGTTCAGAGCAGGTAGGTTTTAGTCTGGCCAGATGCAGTTGATGCTGCTGATCAGATAGATTCAGATGTCAGTGCAGGGGTGTACCCAAGGAGTGCCCGTAGATGGGTAAATAACAGTTGTTTTGCAAAAGTCCGATGCAAGAAAGGCTACCACAAAATTGAAGTTCAGTGAAAAAGAGGACGACAGTGATAGAAGCAGATGAACAATGAGAATATTAAAGACTCACTGCGATAAGTGCGCAGCTAGAACACATAAATTAAATAAAAAATTAGAGGGTGCAGCAACTTCGGCGAGGTTAGATGCCTTGAGAAACCTGTATTGTTTGCTGTCTGTAGCCCAGGAAAGTTTTCCGACGTCATGCCCCTCCTTCCCCTTGTGACCTGTCGGAAACCTACGCCGCACCTGCAGGCTCACTGCCTAAGTCCACCACAAGCCACCTGGCACCACCACCTGGAAGCGTGGCAACGTGGTTCCTTCCTCCTATCGAAACCGTGCATCTACCTTCGTGCCTTCCATGGCTATTACACCTCAACTTGGTACCCCAGTTCTATAGCGGTGCCTGGAACTTTGATTTCAACACACACCACCGCAAAAGCTTGTTATTTGCGGCCACGCCGACCACTCGTTTCCACTTTCTATTTACTTCCAGCGCATTCTCATCATTCGTATATGCACCCAGAGACGAAATCGCAGACACACTCTCCTCGCATGACATACATGTGTTACCAACCCGACTTCTCCAGCCTGCAATCGCCCGTCAGCCTGGGGGCGCACAACATCCTCAATACCACCCTCTTCCCATCCTCTCGGGTCCCCAAGTCCCTTCCAGGCAGGGCGCTAGCCAAGGTAGCATTGATAGATGCCCTCCCCTTGGCCTGCCCGTACGCCCAAGGCCATCTCGGCCGCGTTTTGTGTAAGGTAAAATTTTCCCGCCTTCCTAACCGGCTTTGGCAGTCTCACGCCAGAAGATCCCTGGACTCAACTGCCGATTAGTTCGGCCCTCTTCAGCTGGGTTCCAAAAGTAACGCCAGCCGCGTGGCTCCCATGACTACTGTTTTTTTTATCCCTCCCCTTACCCTCTCTCGTTACACTTAAGCAACAGGTGGTGGTGCCCCCCCCCTCCCCCGAGCCAGGCCGGAGCATGTTCTAGCACCACGCTATAAACTTTAAGTGCACATCGTTTCGTTTTCCAAGACACGCACACACCGCCGGTTTTGAATCCAAGCGGGATGGACCGTCTTGGTGCCTGCAGGCAAGGCAGTCCTTGCTTCGAGAGGAACTAACCGCTAGCACAGCGATTACTACTGCAGACTAAAAAAACCCAGCCGAGCCGTTGGAACCAAGAATAAGGTATTTTCGATCTCGGCATGATAACCCTGAAAAGAAAAAGGTTTGCACGGTATGGCGTGTGCGCATGCATTACGAGAAAAACACCTGGTTGAGAGAGTTCCCGAAAAGTCTATTGCCTGTTTCTCAAATAGGCAGTATGCAGCCTCGAAACTCTTATATATAGGTATGGGGTGCGCACACACTGCACTCAACGTTGCTCGCGAATACTTCACATCCACACACATCTACCTCTAAAGAGGGCCAACGACTGGGGAGGGTTCAGTCAGTACTTGATTCTTTTTTAGCAACCTTAGCGTGGGGCTCAACAGCCACCCCCGTCTCAGACCTGGTCAGACTCTGCGGTTACACCACATGCCCTCAGCCATGCAAGGCTTAACTAAATCAGGTTGGTGGTACGATCGATCAATGGGTTCATCTGGCCCAGATCGAGGAAAGCAAAATAGACGCCAGATCTAGCATGATGCTTGTTATGCGCATGGTGGCCCGGCGGAAACCAGACCCCCAAGTATGCGCACGTCTGTTCCACCAATACCCCAGATTCTCTTGATCCACGCCGTTCAGAGTCACACCTGAACAGTCCTCGCAGCTCCACGCTCCGTGTAACATGGCGTACGCCTCTCACCACACAAGTTTCGCTTTTCACGCTCACAGAAATTTGACCAACATGGTGCAATGAATAAATCAACTGAATGAAGGGTTTTCTTGTCATTGGTCCTCATCCAAGAGCCAAGGCCTGCCTTTGCAGACAGCCCTGGAAGCGTACGCACTTTAACATCTCAAATAGCCAGTACCAATCTGACGTTCTCTCCTCTGTTCTCTTGCCTTCACCCATCCCAATCCACTCTTTGTAATGATTTGTGGTTGAGGCCACTGCCGAGAATCATATCCAAGGTCAGACTTGCCAATCCATTCTCTCTGAACATCAGACTCCAGACCAAAGAGCACTCCAGAAACCGAGATTTGAGACCAGAAAAAAAAATAAAAGGTTCATCATGGGGAAATAATAAATAAACAGACCGCCCCCCCGGTTGAAACCCCCGCCAAAATGCAACCGTCTCCCTCTCCGTAATCATCAGTTAGCATGTACGTTGAATATACTCAAAAAGTGACAGCACAACACCTCCTGCCCAAAGCCGCAAATAGACGCCACATAATGGCTCAGGGCTATATACCTGGGTAGAGACATCGCGTTTGCATGTAGTTGAAACAATTCGACAAACAGACAAAAGAAAAGCCGAACCAAAGATGCGCCGAGACCCTATAGCGGGCTCGTGTATCGGAGGCTCTATAGCGTCTAAACCCAGGCGCCAAAAAGCGTG